TGTGGGGTTGGGGAGGTTGGATTTGCTCAGGTTGTGGAGGAGTCAAGGCATAGTGCAAGGTTACAATCTCAATATCCACATGGATGTCTGTGCTACATTACATATTAATTATCATAAATCCTGTGACATAAAAGCATTCAGTTTATCTGTAGAAAGACTTTGGTATTCCACTAAATGATGGCATCTTCAGAGAAACTCAGTCATCCCGATCTTCATGACATATTATCTCCGGGTTGCTATTGCTGACCATAGTTTTTTCTTACCTCTGCTACTGAAGAACAGGATGTAATAAACAAATTGAGTGATTTTCTTTTTAACACAAAGTAATGTGTCTTCTCCTGAATAAATCACATTCAATTTTTCTTGGAATAATGGCTTCCTCTTTAGATAAAATGAGCTTTTTGGATTTATGAAGAATGTGCATCCTGTTAGCTGCTAACTGAAATAACAAGATTTTGCATTTCAGGTCTAGCTACAGTGCATGTAAAACAGCAAGTAGTAATTAATAGGATATAGATTTGTTCAGCCACATCTAATCATAGACTGTATAATAAATCATAAGGTGTTTTGCAATTAGGAAAATCCATAGAAAATAACAAAGTACAGTTATCCTAGTAACCTTAACAAGTATGGAGGAATGCACCATGGGATGATTGCTCTGATATATGGGTTCCTGTTTAGGATGGTTCTCCATTCATCACATGCATCAGCTTTTTGTTTTCATAGGAGCTGCTGCACTGGCTCAGGGCAGTGGTGAAACACTTACCTAATATTTCCAAAATGCTTATTTCTCCTTCAGGAATTTTCCATATCCTCCACATTCTAGGAGAGCCTTCCCCCTCCACCGGTAGTCATTAAAGGCTCTGTTATTCCAGCAATATCCACCAGTATCGCAACATTTATACCACTCTGAGCATACCAACTGCTGATAAATGACCAGCTGTAAGGCAAAATTGAACCAGACGGGACAACACTGGCATAAAAAGATCTCAGCTTGAACATAGGTGTTCTTCTTTGTGCAGAGATTTTGTCATTTCCTTAAAAAATCTATAGACTACTTTCCTTCCCATTTACCATATACTTCACAGAAAACGTATGGAGAGAATTGTGTCACCATTTGGGGGATTTGTTTATATTGCCTCTTAAAAAATAAAGAAAGTGAAAATACTTTTCCCTTGGATTACTGTTTTGTTATTAAGTTGGGCTTTTTTTTTTCTTTTCTTTCTTTTCTTTTCTTTTTTTTTTTTTTTTGCCTATTTGACATTCTGATTTATACCCACAAAAAGCTAAAAGGTTGTATTGTAAACCTGATTTGTATCATTTTGTATCATTTGGCTAAATATTTTTTTTTGGCATTGTTAATTGATTGAGTAGTGGTTTTGAACAATATTTAAAATACTATTCAACCAAATAATGATGGTAGATGATGATGATGATGATAAATGATGGATAAATAGCTAGATGATAGATGAATGATAGATAGATAGATAGATGATAGATACATAGATGAATGATAGATAAATAAATAGATAGATAGATTCATGATAGATAGATTACAGATAGATGATAGATAGATAGATGATAGATAGATAGATGACAGATAGATATATAGATAGATAGATGATAGATACATGGATAGATAGATAGATAGATGATAGATAAATAGAAGATAGATAGATAGATAGATTATAGTTAGATGATAGGTAGATAGATGATAATATATATTAGAACCAGAAGTCATCTTCAGGTAATTTAATCCAATAGTCATTTGCAAGATAAGAGAATAGAGGACATGTCATTTTCCATCATTATTGGCTATATGAGTTGGGATATAGAGTTGGGATTCAATCAAGACCACAAGTGATACTCCAAATTTCAGCTCTCTGGCTACCCTCATTCAGATATAAACTGCAGTCCTGGTAACCCCTCTGCATAGTCAACTGAGATCATCAGGATCTAAGCGCCTGTCACTTTTCCACAGCTCTGTGTTGTTTCAGTCCTGATTCACCTTCTGAACCAAAAGCTGAGCATATTCAATGCAACTTCCAAAGATATTTGGCTCTCCCCACTCATTTGGCCATTACCACTACTCACCAGAGTCTCCAGACGAGTGGATGTCACATGCCAAACACTGTCACAATGTGTGTGCCTCATGTAGCATCATGGCATTGGTGTGAGGTCAGTAACACACATCAGAGAGAAGCCCAATTGTCAAGCTGTATGTCTGCAGGAGGTCTCCAACCCCTGCAGCTCAAGCCCTTTGTTAAACTCCAGATGCAACTTTGTCAAGATGAAAGCAATTTTGCCATAAAAATCACATTTTCTTAACTAACTCAGGTGTCTGTTTTCATTAACTTACACAGTCCCCTCAGTGACATGACTTCCCTTTCCTGATAGTCCTTTCCTGTTGTTACTCTAATGTACTAGCCTTTCCTGCAAAGGTCAAGGTGGAAACATTAAATATCCAATTCTTTCCTTTGTTCAAGGCACACAAAAGTATTGTTTTCAACTTAGCACAAAATATAGTAACTGATGTAAACAAGTCTGCTGAAATTCTGCATGACAGGGTGACTATGGAATATCAGTGTATTACATACTTGGGGTAGGGTTTGGAAGTGTTCTCATCATAGAAACGACAAGAAGATGAGGTCATGCATGCTCACTGTCTTGATGAAGACATTCCACGATATGCACGTAGTTCAGAACACCATGCTCAGTGGCAGAAATGCATACATTCTTCATTTGTAAAAAATACATTTTAAAATGTGGAAACTTTAGAAAACAATGCCATAGCCCAGAGGAAACTAAGGAAATAGAACAAAATGTAAAGTGACATCCCAGAAGGGGTCCTAGAGGAGACAGCATTAGGTTAAAAAGCTAAGAGAATTGTGGCTGAGGAGTTGGTTCAGTGATGCCACTCAAACACGAAGTACAGAGTTCAGATCGCCATGCGGGCCATAGCAGCCTGCTTGTAATTCCAGTGTCAGGGAGGTAGAGACCAGGAATCCCCAGAGAAAGCTGGCTAACTGGACTAGCAGGGACACCAAGCTCCAGGTTCACTGAGAGATCTTGCCTTACTATGGAAAGAGGAGAGTGATCAAGAAAGACATCTGATCTTAACTTGGGGAACTCCACACAAATGTCTTCATGAAGGCATGTGTACCCACATCAGATGCACTCATAGGAACACACATGTATGCATACCACACACATACACAAGAATTAAGCTAAGGAAATGTGAATAAAGTACAAACTTCAGTTGATAACACTGTGCCCATATTGGTCCATTGTAGGAAACTGTAGGAAATATACCATATTAATATAAGAGATCTGTAGTAGGAGAAACAATGGTATTTTGGAATGCTTCCCAATTTTTCTGTAAATATAAAACTGGTCTTAAAAAAAAAAAGAGAGATGGGGCTGGAGAGATGGCTCAGCAGTTAAGGACCCAGATTTTATTCCCAGCACCCACATGGTGGCTAACAACCATCTATAACTTCATTTCCAGGATATCCAATGCCTTCTTCTGCATGACACAGGTACATGTACACACATGCAGGCAATACACTCATATATATAAAATGATAAATATTTTTTAAAAATAAAAGAAAGGAAGGAATGAAGAAAGAGAAAGAAAGACAAAAATAAAAAGAACCAATATGCTGAAGGAAAGAAGCCTGTCAGAAACACTTTCTATGATTCCATTCCTATGAAGTGCTCCTAAGAGGGACATCTAAGCCACACAAAATGGTTGATTAGCAGTTGCTAAGGAGTGGGGCAGTGGGCAGTGGTCCAGGGAAGAGGGGAGCTAGTATGCCCAGTCTTTCTGTTTTAGATGTTGAAAATATTCGTATTCTAAAAATTGACTGGAGTAATTGTTGCACATATCTGGGAACATACTAAAACCCATCAAATTGTGAAGTTTTGGTGAGTGAATTATATAGAAAGGGAATTACATCTCAATAAAGCTGCTAATAAAAGCTCTAAGCTAATTAAAGTCAGAGTGCTATTGAAATGTACATATCCAGTAATGAGCCCTTTTTTGAGAAATGTTTTCAAAAAGACAATAAAATAAACACTAAATATGAGTCTTCATTACATATCAATATTCAAAGAAATTGATTTAATTGAAAATATTGTCATGCAAACCTCCTTTCTGTTTAATAAAATCTATGAAAATTTAAAGACCTGATAAAAATCAAATCATTATGTTTTTGAAGGCTAAATAGTTATATTAAATTATGCTTAGTACACGTGCTTACAGGACAAAATACAGTGAGCCTAGAAATCAATATTTATTTTGCTGAACAGTAGAGCCTCTGGCACAATGTAGATACTTTGCTTTTTAAGGCAGACAGCAATTTCATTCCTAAATTATGTAGACTGGAGAATAAGCATAGTTGATTTGCAAAGGATGTCTGACAAAGAAATCAGAGCTGAGGACATAGCTCAATTGGAAGAGCGCTTGCCTAACACGGACAAAGCTGTAGGGTCAGTCCCCAGTAGGAGGTTTGGTGGAGACAGGAGGATCAGAGGGTCATGGTTACCCTCACCTACATAGAAGATTTGAAGTCAGCCTAAACAACATGTGACCTTGTCACAGATAAAAGGAAAAGAAAGAAAAAAGAGGGGAGAAGGAGGAAAAATCTAGGAAGGGAGGGAGGGAGAGAGGGAGGGAGGAGGAGGGAATCCAGCTTGAAAGGGAGGAAGGGAGGAGGGAGGGCAGGCAGAACCAGTAGTCAAAGGCAGAAGATGAGAAGGGGTGGGTGCATGCTGGGAGAAGGATTCCCCATGTGTGCTTCCATTTTTCCTCCAAGCCCAGAGCCTGATCTTCTCTAACATTTCATTATTTTGCACATTTGCTTCCTTGTTCTTTCCTTTTTCTTTTTGGAGGTGTTTTCCTGACCACCACTGACTCCATGCATCCTTTATCTCCTTCCTTTTACTCTATTCCATTTTCCTTTCCCATCTCTAACATTTTTTGCTTCTTCTCTCAACAGCTATTTCCCCCAGCATGGGAGAATATGAACCTACAGCACACTGTTTAGTACACATCACATCTAACTGGTTACAATTCCATCCCCGATCTTAACATTAAAAGGAGGTGAGTTGAGAGTTTTGTATTTCTGCAAGACAGTAATTCCCAACATATGGCCCTTGGTTTGGCCTAATATGACCTTATGTCCAGGGAAGAGGCTGAAAGGTCATAAGAACCAGAGGACCAGGATGCTTGCTTCAAAAATGGTGTAGTCTAAGCAGGGCATGGTGGCACACACCCTTAATCCTAACACTCTATAGGCAGAGGCAGAGACAGGTGGATCTCTGTGAGATTGAGGCCAGCCTTGTCTATATAACCAGTGTCAGGCCAGCTGGGGCTACTACAGGGAGATCTTATCTAAAAAAGACCAGAAAAAAAGACACTGTACTCTAGACATGGCAGGGATACTGAACCCACGAAATATCAGCAATATGATTGATTGCACAAGATTTTCACAAGCCAACACCAAATTGCCAACATGGATGGGGGAAAATTTTCAAAGGGCCCTAACCCTAGATGAAGTTATACAGGAAATCAATGGCTGTTGAGAGAGGAAGGATGAATTTGTTTTTTCCAGGATGATCTCCCTGATAGGTTTCCCAATCCTAAGTGGTGATCCCTAAACAGATATACAACTGGATAACACTATTGAACTCGATAGATAGATGATAGATAGATGATAGATGATTGACAGATAGATAGATAGATAGATCTAGATGAAGTTATACAGGAAATCAATGGCTGTTGAGAGAGGAAGGATGAATTTGTTTTTTCCAGGATGATCTCCCTGATAGGTTTCCCAATCCTAAGTGGTGATCCCTAAACAGATATACAACTGGATAACACTATTGAACTCGATAGATAGATGATAGATAGATGATAGATGATTGACAGATAGATAGATAGATAGATAGATGATAGATAGATAGATGATATAGATAGATAGATAGATAGATAGATAGATGGATGATAAATGGGGATGGATGGATGGATGATAGGTAGATAGATAGATGATAGATAGATGATAGGTAGATAGATGATTGATTGATGATAGATAGATAGATAGATTTAGATAGATAGATGATAGATTAGATAGATAGATAAATGATAGATGATAGATGATAGATAGATTAGAAGATGATAGATAGATAGATGATAGATAGATGATGATAGATAGATAGATAGATAGATAGATAGATAGATAGACAGACAGATAGATGATAGATGATAGGTAGATAGATGATATATATACATATATATAATTAGGATATCTTTTTTTCCTTCCTTTGACTCTATTCAGAGTCACACATCCTTTGACATGTGTGTGTGTGTGTAAAATGATGATTGTATAAGATGTCAGTCTGTGACTAGTAATAATCAGATACATAGAGATCAAAGACATGTGCAAACATCTAAGTGTTAGCATTAAAAATGTAGGAAACAGCATATCTTAAAATGAAATGGAGACCTTTAAAGGATAAAAACTCATTCAATTTTATGTCTTACGGGGTTTATACTAAGTTCAATATTGTATAACTATATTAATTCAACTGTGAACCTAAAAATTTACAGCCACTTTTGAAAGAGATGTATCCTTGCTCTGGAATGTGTTACTAAGTATGTTAAAGCTGTAATGAAATGCTTCTTTAAATCATGTGGTTATTAAATTTTTTAAAATTAAAAAAAAGATGTCAGTAATTCAAGAGGGAATGGGGGAAAGTAGAAATGATGTCAAAACAGTGTAGTAATATATGAAATTCTAAAAAAAATAAAAATTTAAATAATAAAAAAGGAAACGGGCCCACCCTGGGCTTACTACATCAGCATTTCTGATGTGGGCCCAGTAATGTTTCTTATTGTTTCTTTTCCAAGTCCTGGGGAAGCTTGTGATACAGCTGGTGATTGAGCAGCACTAATGTAAGAAAAGCAAAAGTCCACTCTGGCTCTTTTTTTCCTGCAAGGTAAGAAATTATCACATCTGGAAGACACTTTACCCTTTGGACAAGTTGGCAACAGCTGGGGGATCTTACACCCTGTCCAGTATGTCCTGGAATCTCTTGATTTCATGTACATGTCTGTGAGAAAAATTAAAATTTCCTTCAATTGAGTCTATGTCTTTGCAGCCTGGAGTGCTGCGGATTCACCCCTGAAAGACCCTTCTCAGTTATGTAAGGAGACAGGAATGAGCCACCCGATCCTTTTAACTGGAGACAGCAGTTAGACAAAAAGAACCACTCCACACGCCATTATTTGGTTGTGGCTTCACAGTGACAGGCCACAGAACAATATGCCTCCAAATAATATCTTGCACAGTTCAGCTGCGTTTATGATTGAGTGAGAGAATATACGTAGTGACATTTAATAAAGTGCTCTGTGAATCTCCATGTACAATTCCACTAACTTAGCCTGCATCATTCTAGGCCGATCTTCATCTTTGTGCTGGAGATGGATTCCTTTTAACTTCCCTGTATTACTGGTCCGATGTGGCATGTTATTATTTACTGTATTAATATTTGCAAAGTTCTCTCTTTTCAAAGCAAATCGAGGAGAATGACTTGACTGTCATTTCCCGCCTGTGGAAAAGATTTATGTCAGATATATTTCCTGTAATTCAATCAACAGCAGGAAAATGAACCTTTATGCAAACAATGGCAAAGTTACAAATATATGGGGTCTACAGAGAAAACAGCCTCACACCTCTTATCTTCCTTCATCTTCACGATGCTTTCTTAGTGTGCTGTTTTCAACCCCAGTGATGAATAATGAATTATGATAATGAGGACTGAAGGCAACATAAATATTTGCTGTTAGAATGGGGATAAATTCAGCTTCACTGGCTCAGTGTTATAATTAATGTGTGTGTGTGTGTGTGTGTGTGTGTGTGTGTGTGGGTGTGTGTGTGTGTGTGTGTGTCGTCTGTCTGTCTCTGTGTGTGCACATTAATGTGTGTGTGAATGCCGACGTGGGTCTGGGTGCCGTGGTACACTTGTATTGGTCAGGTGTCAACTCTCACTTCGCACCTTCTTTAGGAGTTTCGGTGATTGTGTGATTGTTTCGCTGTTTCTTAGGCCTGACTTTTGAGTAGGCTCTGGGGATTCTAATTCAGGTCCTTGTATTTAATCTGGCAAATGCTGATTCTTACTGAGCCTTCTCCCCAGGCCCTCTGTTACAATTCTTCAGGTAGATAGTCAAAATGTCTCACATGCAGTTACCAGTGCCAGCCTTTGATGCTGAACATGCAGACATCCTACATTTTTTTCTACTTAGGAACTATAGTGAAATGAACAGTTTTCTAACTTTGAATCTGTTGAATCTGCCACTCAGAAGTGAAATAATAAATTGACTCACATAATCAAGCAAAAAAACACGTAAGTTTTCCACAGTTAATTTTTAGTAAGCTTGTACTGAGGATCTGCCCCCTAGAACTGTAAACGCTACTGAAAACGACGGACAAAGACTGGGTTTCAAAACCTTTCAGCCCAAGCTGAATAAGGGGGAGGCAGAGGCAGAAAAAGCCCAAGGCTTCCATGAAGTTGTGAATCTGCACTCAGGAGGGAAGGTGCTGCAAGCTTATTGTTCACTTAATTAAGAGCCAGTTTTATTCCTTTTTCCCAGGTTTAAGATATTAGATGCTAAATAATGCTGCTGATGTGATCTAAGGGTTTGCTTTATCTCTCTTCTCTGGGGCCCATTATACCTTCAGCTAGTCCACTTGAATGCATTTAATAATAATGGAAGTTACACTTGGGTATCGAAAAGAGAATCTCCCCCTCCTGAATTTGCAGGAGGAAATTCCTTAGGGAATGATAGTTTCTACAACCTACTCATTGCTCTGTCCGGACCCAACAAGTTACTGTGCATAGTAATTAAGTAAGCATAACAGGCAAATTCAGACTTCAAGTGTCTGGCTTTTATGGTTACAGATGTTCTGTGCCTAGTCTGTTCAGCAGTTCCTAGAGTCATAAATGTTTAATTTTTAATCTCCTTTTTTATCAGTTTTGTGGAATGCAAACTGTGAGTATACCAGAAGAAATTTTACTAGTGTATTTTATGTGCATGAAGTTTGCAATGAGAGCTTTAGTGAAATAAGATAAGGTGTGTTCCCTTAAGAAAATGAATTCTGCTTTAGCTCGAAGCACAAATTAATGCCCTTGTTATGGAACACTGGCAGCAGAGATCTCATTTACAGTATTTTTTCCATGGCAATCTATTTGCAGCCCTAATGTCATCCTGGGGCAGCGTGCGACTTACCTTGCAGATGTATTGTTGGAAGCATATTGAGTTACATCATCTGTTTGCACTGCAAATGTCCTTTGAAATGATTCAGGGACGTGAAACAATAGTCATTTCAGGATATACTTATCTTTTATGACACAAGCAGCTGCCCCATTGCTCAGGGGACCTTGTGATATAGACAATATGTGCAGATAAAAAGCCAGCATTGACATCACATGCTTACATGTCTAATGGTGACTCTACACCTGGATTTCAGTTGTTCTGACAACATCCTGATCATTGCAATTAGACAATTAGAATATTCTGGATATAAAACTTTGAAGTGAAATCTTCTGAGACATGTTTTCCTTTGATATATAGAGAGGTGACGGCTTAAAAATAAATCCTAAACGCTCACTGTTTCTTTTTGGGGGAGAACGGCTCTCCCATACGCAGATAGATATGAGCAAATTAGTTATCGCACTTAGGGATAGCAAAGGTGAAAAGAGCTATTAAGCTCTTTGTTCAAAATGGTCTTAACAAAGGAGGTTAATGAGCAGAAAGTGTGGCCAAGACCAAAGGGCAGGTCCACCCAAAGAACAAACAAGAAATGGGCCGTAGTAAAAGCTGTACTCGCCCACAGAGCCTGACTTCATTGGCTTTCTAGTTTAGAATTCCTCTGAACAGCGTGGACCACCATGTGACTGCCATTCTGTACTGGGTCTGCCCGTCTACTGCAAAGTGGGCTTTGTATAACACACTGAAAAACTTTACTTTGCACTAACAATACCCTGCTTTCCCTAATTTTCTCCAGGCTGAAACATCATCCACTCTAAATTTATTTTGCCTTTTGTTGTTGTTATTTTGTCTTTATTTATTTATTTTTTTCGAAGCTGAGGCCTGAACCCAGGGCCTTGCACTTGCTAGGCAAACGCTCTACCACTGAGCTAAATCCCCAACTCCCCACTCTAAATTTATGATCAGTGTGGAGTCGCACTCTATGGCAGCCAGACCCTTGCCATGTCTGCCCTCTCCTACAGAGGACTCAAATCCTTTTGCTGTTTGGACCCTCACAGAGATTCATCTTCCTCCAGTGCGTTATTAAAGCATGATCTATTCTCTGCCGAATTCTTGCGTGTCTGAGACTTTTCCTCTGTCCAGTGCTTCCTGGATGTCTTGGTTCCTTTTCTGTTCCTGTGATTAAAAAGTAAAGTAAGGGAGACAGCATTGATTTGGTTAACAATTTCAGGAACAGTCCTCCATGGCAGGGAAGTCCCAGAGGAAGGATCTTGAGGGAACTGGCCACATTATACATACAATCAGGAGCAAAGAGCAATGAATTAATGCATGGGTGCTTACTGTTACTCAGCTTGATTTCTCTACCTTTATGCAGCCCAGGTCCTACCCAAAATTAAAAGGAGTCTCCCCACATCAATTAACTTAGTCAAGGCAGTCCCTTGAAGGCAGGCTCAGAGGTGTATCTCTGAAGAGAGCCTTGATATTTCTCAAGTTGACAACACTAACCACCATTGTGATGGAGACTAAATCCCAAATAATGTGGAAATTTCAGATGCTACTGATAAATGTACTTGGTACTCATTGAGTCTTGTTACATAGCCTAGACGACCCTTTGATCCTCCTGCCTCTGCCTCCAAACACTGGCATGATCACCACTTCTACCTTTGGTGTTTATTTTTTAGCACCCCATCAACTTACAATTTATAACTAATCCTGCCAACTCTGGGAGGAACTGGATTTGAAAGATCTCCATTTGAATTCCAGCTTATTGATTATTGAACAAATCCGTTGAATTTCCTAAGTTTCTATTTCTTCTTTTGTCTCCCCAGTAATATCTGTAAAAGTGTCTGGAACAGAAGTGAGGGTCAGAGCAAGTGTGGTTCAGTATTGAGTATACTGTTCCCCATAAGGAAAGGGAAGATGCAATCATGTGCATAGAAAGACCACAGAGGTGACAAAGGGTGTGCAGTAACGCAAAGGCTCTCTGTGTACCACACCCTGTCGTTCCATGTCAGAAACACATGTACAATTATCCTAAAACTTATTTTCCTTTTCCATTCTCATCATTTATAAATGTGTGGTGAAATGTCCCACAGAGGCAATATGACAATGTATCACCATTCACTGAGTGTAGAAGTTGAGATATAAACCCAGAAATCTTATGTGAAACCAGAGGAAAAGATTAGCAAAAATATGTAACATAATACAAGATTCACTGAATTTTGGGGTAATGTATGTGTTTTGATGGAAACAGTTATATATTAATACAAGAGACTCATAGCTTTTTATTTTAAAATAACATAATAAAGTAGTAAATATTTTACCTTAAATTTATAACTTGATGACAATAGAAAAATCTAAGCCATATATCAGTAGCTGTTAGAAAACAAAGTATAGAGGGGCCCTGGGTCCACAGAATTTAAGAATTGGGGGCTTTTAGCAATATTTATGAGCTCTAATGAGCACATGAATGAATGAATCTCTATTAAATACAGATTCTGGATTACCAGGTCTGGGTGTGGTTTAAGCATCAGCACATCCAGACACACAAGCACAGAAGCCTCATGGGACAGAATTTGAGTAGCTGCAATTAGAACAGCCTTCTGTTATTTGGCAGAGCCATTTCCCCAGCAGAGGTAAAAGTAGAGGCTTTCTTCTGATCTCATCCTTCATTCACATAGCTATTTGCCTCAAGATGGCTGGTGGTCAAAGGCACATCTAGTGGGCA